TTCGCACAGTCAACAAAAGTTGAAACTGAGGTTGCCAAACATTCTTTTATTTAGTCTAGTTAAAGTCCTGAAAATCAGATAAAAGTCAAAGTAGGATTGCGTACCATATACTCAGTCAGCCATGCAATGGGCAATACAGGTAGGGGTTATAATCTGGGTTTATAGAGGGGGATGGAAAGTTACCTTACAGTTCCCTGCCTCCAGAACTCCTCCTCAGTTCTGGCAGAGCTCCTACAATTGGTGGGTTGAGTCCCCACAGAGTCTTGTCGCGGTCCTACAGGTTGCAATCCCTCCTGCCGCCTTCCTCTCATAACCGGATTAGACTTTAGAGTAAGAGAGGCAGAAGTAGGGGTCTCAGACTCTCGAGATACAGGAGGGGGACAAAATCAACTCCCAAGAGAGGGCCTTGTTACCTTCACTCGCCTGAGGGTCCCGCAATGGCAGCCAGAATGCGCAACAATTTGGCTAATCATCAGTCAAACCACCGCTGTTTATCATTCGGCCGCTCTCCGAATCGCAACAAAACCTCCTCACTCAACGATCTTCCGCAACAAAACCTCCTCACTCAACAAAACCTCCACCGGATGGGTAGACCGGGTATGCAATTCCGACCTTGGTACGTGAGATCTTCCGCTATATGAGTACAGCAGCTACCGAAAGTACATGTAGGTTCGTCAATAGCTAATTAGAAAGAGCTCCTGGGTCACATCTAGTGTTTCTAACAGTCAACTTCAGCAATTCAAAAAAATAGGGCAAAACAAGAGCGCAACCAACTGCCCTATCTCAGTGGGTACACTCCGGAACTGTTGAAATACAGACCCGAGTTTGAAGTCCAGTGGAAGCAGATGAGTGAAATACAACAATTCTCAATTATCTAGGGCCGATCAGTTCGAGGCAGTCGCCGTCCTCTAAATCTGCATTCGCACTTCTTTCATAAAAACGGCTGCAGTTTCAACCCCCCGCTCAACTTGCAGAATTTGAAAATCAAACAATGATATCGGTGCCACTTTCTCACCCCTCCGCGAAATGCTTCGTGTGGCGATTGGCCCTGACACCGCTGTCCTGACAGTAGACATGGGTTGTCCCGAGTTTTCGCTGCACCTGGAATGATTTCCAGTCCCCAGTACATGGTAAACCACCGTTCCATTAGCCCGCCATCCCCCACAAGCCGACACCCAGGCCGGGACAACAACCATAGGGCAGGTGGCGGCGACGATGTAATGGAACCAAGCGCCCTTTTCCGCCAGAAAAATGTACTCTTCGGTCTCGCCTGGTCTCACCACTGTTTGTGGCGGATGGCGAGTATTGGAACGAGGCCCTCAGGGCGTACGCTCACAAACTCTGGGCCTCGCTGCACTACTCTAGTTTTGAGAGTGGGTCTTCGCTGAACTTAGGGTCTCGCTGCACTACTCTAGACTCTCGAAATACACGCCTTCGCTGCACTTACTCTAGAACCTGTGATACTAGATGAACTCTCGAAACCCTGGGCGTCGTCCTACTCAACAGAAGAGCTGCACCACTGCGCTACGGGACAAAGTCTGGCCGCCGGGACAGGAGGTCCACTCTCGAAAAACTAGCCTGTCGGTGGGCAACTCCCGAGGACACTTGCAATTCGGTATTTGCAGTGGCGTTGTAGCGTGGCTTCTGACAGCTCTCGATCGGGTTTCGAGAGTTTCCCTATTGAGAGTAAGTGCAGCGAAGGCCCACTCTCAAAACTTTGAGAGTCTAGAGTAGTGCAGCGAGGCCCTTACTCTCGATCGGGAAACTCTCGAAACCCGATTGAGAGCTGTCAGAAGCCACTCTACAAGGCCACTGTCGAAACGTCGAGAGTCTTCCGCCTGCAAATACTGAATTTGCAAGTGTCCTCGGGAGTTGCCCACTGACAGGCTCTTTCTTCGAGAGTGGACTTCCTGTCCCGGCAGCCAGACTTTGTCCCATAGGGCAGTGGTGCAGCTCTTCTGTAGAGTAGGACGATGCCCAGGGTTTCGAGAGTTCATCTAGTGTCACAGTTTTTTTTTTTTTTTTTTTTTTTTTTTTTTTTTTTTTTTTTTTTTAGTTCATTTGCTGGAAACCGGGGCCAGCGTCCAGGAAGATCTTGCCGCCTGCAAATCAGAAATTTGCAAGTATCCTCGGGAGTTGCCCACTGGCAGGCTCGATCTTCGAGAGTGGACCACCTGTCCCGGCAGCCAGACTTTGTCCCATAGGGCAGTGGTGCAGCTTTTCTGTCGAGTAGGACGGCGCCCAGGATTTCAAGAGTTCATCTAGTGTCACAGGTTCTTGCTGCCTGCAAATACCGAATTTGCAAACTGACAGGCTCGTTCTTCAAGAGTGGACCTCCTGTCCCGGCACCCAGACTTTGTCCCGTAGGGCAGTGGTGCAGCTCTTCGATCGAGTAGGAGGACGCCCAGGGTTTCGACATCTAGTGTCACAGGTTCGTGCCGCCTGCAAATACCGAATTTGCAAGTGTCCTCGGGAGGTCCCCACTGACAGGCTCGTTCTTCGAGAGTGGACCTCCTGTCCCGGCAGCCAGACTTTGCCCCGTAGGGCAGTGGTGCAGCTCTTCTGTCGAGTCGGACGACTCCCCGGGTTTCGAGAGTTTGGGCCTCGCCACACCACTCTTGAATCTCGAAAAAATTCGATAGCTGTCAGAACTTTTCGAGAGGGCGGTTTTCGAGAGGAAAGGGCCCTTCGCCACACAGCACACTCGACATTTTT